GGGTCCGCTAGGAGCAGGTGGGGGGGGGGGGGGGGCCCCCGGGGGCCCCCCCCCCCCCCCCACATTGCAGGAGCGTGTGGAGGACAGCCGCCTGGTATAGGCACTCGCTGTCGTGCATCTCCACGGCAACGCAGGCAGCCAGGAAAACCAATTGAAAAGGGACGAGTTCCGAGCCACGTTCGCTGAAGCGGCCCAGAGGGTCCTAGCGCCAGCCTAGTTGTAAGGGACAGCATGCACCCCCATCTCCCTAACGGCAGAGCACTTCAGAGGGTAAAGATGGGGGAGATCAGGAGGGTGGCGGTGCAGGGCGGAGGAAAAGCATGCAGGGGGGAGGGGGGCTACTCTGCCCCCTGTCTCAGAGTCGATGCAACTACAGTGCGCAGTAGTGGACTACTCCACAGACTCTCGAACCTGGAGCCGGAGACCCAATACGAATGATGGATCATCTTGAGGATTGATCATCTTCAGAATCCTGTCAATCAATAGTTGGTTTAATCTACTTGCCATCGGCTATTTGCCCACAGAGATCCCGCCCCTTGGGGAGACCGTGAAGCCTCGCTTCTCCCATAATTATCAGACCAATAACAGGTGTCCTGTGGACAATAAACCCTAGTCAATGTAGCGATATCAAAACGAACACAAAACAAATCTTTGCGACCTCGGGAGAATCACCGGCGGACGGGCGTACACTGTCAGTGTCGTGGAATATATGTGATCAGTTCTTCTGCCCATGACACTGGGCCTGATGCCCCGCGGAGCAATTTATCGATTAATCGATAAATGCTTATTAAAGCGAGTTAAAGCAGCTGACTTAGAGAGAAGGAAATATAACACGTACATTCAGTTTGTTGGTCAGGAGACAGTAGATAGGGATGTACGTGATGATGATGAGGATGAGGCTGATGGGTGTGTTGTAGGACGGGACTTTTGCTATCAGAGTACCGCCAGGGTGAGTTAAGCACGAGGGGGATGGAATGGACGGGATGGGACGAGTGAGATGGCCACGAGTGAGACATCCCCCCCCCCCATTATTATGGTTTGAATCAGCCTTGTTTTTGGAAGCAGGAAGCCATGGTGAGGTGGGGGGGGCGGGGGGGGGGGCTCCATCAGGATCCTGGAAGTCGCCACAGCTACGTTAAGAACCAGACGGGAGGAGAAGTTTGAGCAGGGGGGCGGGGCGGAGCGGGGAGGGGGGTTAGGAGCCGACACACGTGCTGCATTCACCATTTCGAGACGGATACCTCTGTATACAAGGGTTCGACAGCCGTCTGGCCTGCCGCATCTGGAACAACACACCGCAAGGCTCTGTTAGAGGGGAGGGGAGTGGCAGAGCTCGAGCCAAGGGTTGGGGGACGGCTGACTCTTCTGCCTCAGGGGTGGGTTAAAGAGGAACCTTTAGAAATAGCCACCACCTGCCTAGTGTGTAACTACCACAGACACAGGGAGGGGTGCCAACAAATGAACAAACAAGCAAATAAACAGACAAAAAGCAAACCAAGGGAGATATCTGCAGAGGACGTATTGAATGAGCTAAGATGGAAAGTGACGGCGTGGACGGGAGCGGTGCCGCTACGTACGGAGGCTGCAGATCGGCCTGGACCCCGCTGGGCCACGATCGCACCAGAGATGGCCTTGATCCAGCTGTGCATCTCTTCTGGGCTGTCCGACTGGACCGGGGGGATGGAGTTACAGAGCACACACAGACAGACGCACCATTATGCCATCATTATGACAAGGGATAGCACAATGGCCAGAAGTCAGGATAACAGGCTAATGGGCGCTAACACAAGCTAATGGGTGCTAACACACATGCTAATGAGGGCTAACATGCTAACAGGCATTAACAAATGCTCACGGGCGCTAACACATGCTAGCGGGCGCTAACACATGCTAATGGGCACTAACTGCCCCCCCACGGCAGCTCTTACCTGAACATAAAAGGTCCTGGAACTGGTGACAACTTCGAAAAGGTTGTCCCTCATCAAAATGTCACTGAAAAGGGGGAATTGGAAATGGAGAAGTGGGCATGAAACCGTGCTCTGTTTGCGGCAGGAGCTGCGGCGTGACTAGTGCCGGCCGAATCCACAAACGGCGCACAGCGGCCGCCTCACCTCTGCTTGCACTCCTGAACTTTCTGCACGTCCCTCAGTGGAATCATCCGGAGGGGCTCTTTGTCCTGGGGGGGGGAGCAGCGGTCAGTGACTCATCACACACACACACACACACACACACACACACACACGTTTGCAGTCAAGGGCAGCTCTGTATAATACCCGTAAAGTAGCAACCAATCATGATGCAAATGTGTAGGTGTCAACGCTGGCTGTTGGGGGGCGGGGGGGGGGGTGTGCGTGCGGACAGAAAAACACAAACCCCCCCCCCCCCCCCCCCCCCCCCCC